TAGTGAATAAATAAGAAGAAAATTAGATGACTTGTTTTCTTTTCCTAAGCAGAAAACGTTTATTCTTTGTTGTTCTTTTTTTTTGGTCAAGTAAACCTTTTCTCATTTTTTGTTTTAATGATATAATACTGTCTTTTCCAAAAGATAATTCCTTTATTCAAGTGGGAAATCTTTGCCTTAATTTATAAATCCTCAAAGCAAAATAGCTTAAAAATATTTAACACCACATCTGCTGAAAAGAGATGGAATTATGGGTAATGTCTACAAAATTTCAAGCAAAAACAAGGTGGAAATGATTGTTTTTCTCACTTTGAAAAGTAAAGCTAAGGAGGTTGTGTTAAAATGAATTTAAAGAATTTTAATGAAGGAGATGGAATGGAAAAACTTCATAAATTTTTTAATTTATGATGAAGTTTTCTTTGCTTAAAGAAGACAGTAACCAATCCACATTTATTGCCTATGAATATTTTGAGAAATAACATACCTGCAGATATGTCAGTTAATGTCTACATAAGTGACTGGCTTGTAGCAAAATAGAGAAACAATATTAAATCATCAGCACTCAAAAGTGTTAACTTATCACAAGAAAATGAAAGTCTAGTTCAAGTTTTAGTGACTGAGCTCTGTCTTCAAACGATGTCTAAAAAGAATTGATCTTTAAAGATCACTACAGTGTTACTTCACTGCCAAGAAAGTTTCAGCTATTCTGATTAAAAATGAGATAGCTATATCTACAGCAAAAAAGTTGAAAACTGAAGTAGAACCAGAAGTACTACTCTAAGTGTATTTCCATCTTTAGTCAAATAGACAGCATTTTCCATACTCCATTAAGTAAAGGAGAAATTCAAGGAGAGCAGTAGTAAAAATGAAATTTTGGTCATTCTACTGGAAGGAGAACTAACCATGTAGAGACTGATGATAGGCCTTCCTAGTGGGTCAGAAACTGTCCATATGCAAAGAAAAATTCCCATGATAGAATATGTTACAAACATTGTCCTAATCAGTCAAAAGTCAGGTTTTTTTGGAGTAGATCTGTACTTTTAGACAGTGGAGCATTAGGAATTGGTTATGGACAATAATGATATGAATGTGTTGTGGAAATGTTGCCAGATAATATTAAGACAAACATCAAAGTGCAAGACAGTAAAAGAAGTTATAAATTTGGAAATGGAGATGTTTTCTTGCAGGCATTAGAGTGGACACTGTTATTGATGTGATTGAAGTGGATATCCTGCCTTTGCTTAGCAAAACTTCTATGAAGAGAATAAAAACAAGACTGGACTTTAATAATAACATTGTATTCATGCTCAGAAAAAAGTATAACTTCTGCATGTTACTACGAGTCTTTGAGGTCATGTTTGTATTGTATTTTGGTTTTTTATCAAAGAATGGCAAGGTAAATCACTTACTTTTTATAAAAGAAATCTCCAGTACAAGTACACAAAAGAAAGTAAAGATTACCTCTAATTACTTGGAAGTTCACCCATCCAAATAGAAAAAAGGAATACTATGGCTTATCTTAAGATGCAAATGTAAAAGACTAAGAATTCATAGAAATATAAAAGAGCATTCCAGCTTCCTGTGAAAGAAGCAAAATGTATTCCAACAAAAGTAGTTGAGTCTCCTAAATCTGGACAAGTAATAATTTGTAAATTTTCTAATGAAAAATGGAGTAGCTGAATTTATGTTATATGCATGGTAGGTAAAGTAACAGCAAAAACAAAATTTATGATGTATGATGTCACATATCTGAGTTATCCTTTTGGTTAAATTTTGAACATGGAGTCTCAAAATAGTCAAGAAATGATTCAGAATAAATAATAATAATAATATCAAAGCTTGTAAATTAGTCAAGGCAAAGAAAAGAGAGTTCAGAGAGGAACTAAAAGTAAAATATTTGACCAAGTTTCTGACAATATACAAAATAAATCTGTAAAAGAATCTCATGAAAAAATAATTCACAAAGCAAGATTTGTAGCAGAAGGCTTTCAAGATTTTTAAAGTAAGCAATATTAGAATGCTCCAAGTTTCATGGTTGCCATTGGTATGATAAATAATGTAAATGAATGAATATTAAATATAATCTGCTTTTGTGCAAGGAGAGTCATACACAAGTCAACTTATGTCCTTCTTCAGAGGCCATTGTACAACAAAGTTATCTTTGAAAGCTATCATGGTATGTACATGGATGGTAAGATATCTCTCTTACATGGTATTTAATGGTAAGAAAAGAACTAATGAAGCTGGCATCACACACTTGAAAATATGGCTAGATTATTTATTACATGGTATTTTAACCATAAATTGTCTGGTATTATCACCATGCATGTTGTTGAATTCTATTTTGCTGTATCAGGGACCTTTCATACCAATGATATGGACTAGTTTTATAAAGTTTTTGAAGTTAAATCAGAAGAACCAATCAAATCTGTAGTATATTAACTTGAATGTATAGTAATTCAAGGAGAATATAATACTTGGACAAGATGAATCTATCTATGTATAAAATTCTGTGACTTCTGTTAATCAGTCCATCCAACCATCCATCATACCCTCTAAAATAGCTATAAATTGACCAATCAAAACCAAATTTTGGGCAGAAATGCAAACACATAAGGGGGTACAAAGCACAGTTTGGTTTTACTAGAATGTGCAGCTTAGTACAATAAATTTTCATTAATTTTTGGAGAAAAATTAAAATTTATACAATTTAATATACAAAATACCGCACTGTTTTAAATCAATTTAATAATTAAAATAACAAATACTTTTTTATATATACAAGAATCCAATTTCCAGTTTGCAAGAACTATAACCAAATCACAAGCCCAAATGCTTCAAAAGTTGTAGTTTGGCTCCAGAAAGAAATATTTATGTATGGTTGACTTTGCAGAAGCAACAATTTTATACAAAGGATTGATATTGTATTTCCTTAATTTAGAAGATGAAGCTAGAAATTTGTTAAAATCTATTATACCAGAAATTCTTTTTTCCATATTGCAATGTATTCTTCACTTCAAACTTTTAAACAAGAGACTGCACAATGAAATTAATCTACTTAGAGAGGTTGGTTTGGTTTGTTGTGTTTTATGGCATATCAACCACAATGGGTTATTTAATGCTGACAACTTTTTTTTCCTGGTAATATTTTGTTTTGTCAAAAATCTATTTCTGGTAATATTTTTTTCCTCAAAAATATATTGCTGGTAAATTTTTTTTTTCCAAAAATATATTGCTGGAAACTTTTTTTTTTCAAAAAATATATTGCTGGTAAATTTTTTTTTCAAAAAATATATTGCTGGTAATATTTTTTTTCCAAAAATATATTGCTGGTAATATTTTTTTTTTCAAAAATATATTGCTGGTAATATTTTTTTTTTCTTCAAAAATTTATTTCTGGTAATAATTTTTTACAAAGTATTTCTGGTATTAAAACCTATTTTTGCACTTTTATAATGCTTTTTACCTCAGTTTCAGGGTTAACTATTTGCCCATAGCTAGGACCCTAACAGGTGCTACCACCCCAGGTCAGGTTGGACCTGGGAACACCAGCAATTAAGAGGTGGTTCCATGCTCATCAAAACCTCCTGATCAGAGGCCTTGCTGTTGGACGTAATTTATCATCTTACCCAAGACACAGATGTAGTTTATCGTCATACCCAGGATGCGGATGTAGTTTATCGTCATACCCAGGATGCGGATGTAGTTTATCGTCATACCCAGGATGCGGATGTAGTTTATCGTCATACCCAGGATGCGGATGTAGTTTATCGTCATACCCAGGAACTTAGGTGTTATATAAAAGTGAAATAATGGCGATATCCTATCAAAAGAACAGATTGTAGATTCCTTACCAAAGAGGCTTTTTCATTTCTTTTTTGTTTTTTTTTTTACTGAAGTTTGAAACAAAAAGAGCTACAGGTATAAAATAAAAATACTTCCCATCAATGAGTTCGAAATGAATCAAAATGACTAAAAAATGGGAGAAGAGTTAAAATGTATTATGACTCTTGAACTAAAGAAATATTTGGTTATCTGCTCTTATCATCCAGATCCATATCAAAGCAGAATCTCACTTTTTTCCCTTGTTGTAATGTACAGCATGTGTGTGTTGAGATTGGTGGAAACACCTAACTGATTACTCTCCCATCAACTATATGGGTAATAGGTAGAGAGGGAAAAGAGATGGTAGGTAATGAAAATAAAACTACCTCGGAAACCAAAGCAACTTTAAGAACAAAATGCCGCAGGACAGATTTCACAAGACACACTGTATCTTGCCAAATGCAGATTTTCCCATTGTTTTATTAACAAGAGTCATCTTACAAAAAACCAGATCTTCACCCGTTACAGATAGGCTCGTTTCTAGATATGTCAAGCTGTCTCACTGCTAACAAGAAAAAACCAGATGTAAATGGTGTTGACAAACATGTCCATATACAATCCAGGGCCTCTTTTTCATCTGTACCAATGAGTGTTCTGTTAGTTTTTCTTCTACACCAGCAAAGTTTAGAGTTTACTGTCTGCTTCACATGTTTATCTAATTCTGCAAACCTGTACATACTGTAAACACTAACAAATACCTTTCTGCAACAGCTGAAGGCAAATTTCAAATAATCTATCTTGGGAGGATTTGTCAAGGATGATAACATGCCATAATAAGGAATACATTAATACACATTTAACAACATTATTTTTTCTCCTTGTGTTTAAAATATGAAATGACATCTACCACATAGATACTAATGCTTGTCATTTTGTCACAGATTTCTGAAAGGTCAACTATTCTTGGCTCTCAAACAACTAAAATTTTAGTTTCTCATTTCTTAAAAAAATCCATTAACATAACTTTTCATTAGGATGTGTATTTGACCTATGAGCTTCTTCACTCCTATGTTTGGAGATCAATATTCATGAAGATTAAGTGCTTAATTAGCAACAAGGGGCAAAATTTTAAAATTCTTTCTGTAAAGTTTTGAACACAAAATATTTACTAAAACTTACCGATTTTGCAGTTTACCTATCTTGGCCTTTCGTTCTTGGTATTCCAAACTGATTTCTTGCCTTTCTGTTTCAGCAAACTTAATCTGTGACATTAACATGTCCTTATGAATGTTGATCTCATGTTGGCGTTCCTTCATTGTCTGAAATTATTCCAGAATAGTTAAGCGTTTAAAGAAGACCAGACAGCAATATCAGAGGTAACAAACAGTCAAAGGCAGGAGGAGAAGAAAAGTAACAATAATAAATTAACATTTTCTGGCAATCATCTGACAAGATGATCACTCATGAACAACATTAACTTGACGCTTAACAATTCACTGGTTGTATACTTGAGTAATAGGGAGTTCAATTGGTTGATAATCAGACTTGTAATAATGACAGATCAGTTAAACAAGACTCCGGTCAAGTTGGACATTTTCCAAAAGCAAGAGTTGTGACTTGTAGAATTAATGAAATAATTTAGTAAACTGTTGGAACTGTTATGCAATATCAGTCCTATATAGGAGTGAATGTTAGAAAACCTCCACACAGATGAAGAAGAAACTTGAGGCAACAGAAATGTGGTTCTACAGAAGGATGCTGATGATACCATAGGCTCAACATGTGAGCAATGATGAAGTTTTCGAGAAAATGTAAACAAAAAGGTCACTTCAAAAGAGAAAGTGACAACTGAATTTTCTAGGTCAGATAATGAGGAAAGAAGGAGTATTTGACACTAACAGGGTAGGTTGAAGGTATGAGGCACAGAATAAAGCAGCAAATAACTAATGAGATTGTGTAATTAGTTGGCTGAAAAGGGATTAGGAGAGATAGCAAAGAAACAAAGCTTATCAAGAGCAACAAAGAACAGGAAGTTGGGGAGAGCCATGATCACCCACATTCTAAAGAAACACAATACATAGAAGAAAACATACAGCTTGTTCATTTTTTTTTATAACTTAACATTTATATACCTAATCCTTATTTTCACTCTAAAGTTTTAAGGAAAATGGAAACAAAAAAGGATGCTCTTATTTATAGTCAGGAAGAGACAAGTAAATTTCTAGAACACATAATGAGAAAAGTGTGCATGGAGAATTTGACATCTACAGGACATACTGAAGGCAAGAGGAACATAGGAAATTACTGTGTAACCTACTTAACAAGCTTGTGTAAATGACTAGCAGAACAGAATGAGAGTACTAATGAAAAGACAGACCTTACTATGAGCTACAAAGGATAGGAAGTTGGAATGAACCATGATCACCCAGATCCTGAAGAGAGATTTTTGGTAAGCATTTGATTGAATGTTAGAAAATGAGTTAACTATTTTCATTCAAAAGAGACACTGTTCTAATGGATGTGGAGTTATTTAAAATAAGACTAATGTCCTCATCTTTGCTGTTATTATCACAATATTTTGACCATTGTGCTCACTTGCCTTCTTCAGTTGTCAGGGGCTTAAAGTGTTTTCATTCATGAATTTGGTGTCAGTGTAATTGGGAATTCATTGTGTGTGCTAGGACTGATTCAGTGAAAAGAGGGATAGCAATATCTGAGCAATCCTAAAAAAATAATTAAAAAAAGATATCCTGAGACATGGACAATGAAACAGAAAAATCTACCCCAGTGGATTAAATAAAGTCTTCAGTTCAAAATTCCCTGAAGGTTACCCAAATCAACACACACCTGATGAAGACCAGAAGGTACACCAGCCAAACAACTTTGTGATAGCAACAATTAAAATTAAAACATTAGTCCAAATGTAAATATAATTTTTAATTTGAAAGAATCACAAGAATGACATAGTAGTTATACTGCTTCCACTGTCTCATCAAGTATAGAAGAGTGAATTTTACATATAATCCTTTACATATACTTTTCTGATTGCTATCATGGCATACCAGTGACAACACCATATTTAAAAGAACTGTATCACATTGAAACATCAGTTTTCATATGATCATCAAAGTTAAGTAATATCAGGCCAAGTCAATAGTTCAATGGGTGACTGCTTGGGAACACTAGGTGCTGTAAGCTTGGATATTTGGGTATTGTAATAGATAATGACTTGGAAATGTTAACCAGAGTACTGGGTTCCAATTTCTGTTGGATTCATTTTATTCACATATGCAAATATCCTTGTGAAAAGTAGGAATCTACCTCTTCTCCCCCAGCTATGGGTTAATTAGTAAGACTGGCATCACTAAATCATTTTATTATCTTAAATAAAATTCTTGCAATCTAAAAATATTTTCTGGATTTAAATAACCTACAAAGTGTTCTTAAGCCATAGAAAATAAATCAATTAAATCAAAAGGATTGGCAATAGAAAAAAGGCAGGGATGGTTGTATAAATGTTTTTTTTCTAAATTTGTTTGTGTATTTGATAAAGGCATCCTTCACGGAATACAAATTCTGCTTTGTAGATTGTCTTTTTCTGAATTAGTAACACATGCACTTCACCATGGTAAATGTAGATACATAATAATGCTGAGAATAACTGTTTTGTTATCCTCATCATTTGTCCCATGACAAGGTATGGTCATAGGGTTACTGAGCACCTGAGCAGTTCATTCCACATATCAGGTTGAAAGCCACAGGTTTTTGTTTATCCATAGCATATAATGTGCAAGTAGAACTGATGGGGTCCATACCTCAACAGGTCAAAACACAACTGATGTCTTCCAACTTGAAGGCTCACTTTGGTCATGTTGATTCTATCAGGAAGGGAGGGGCTCTCTATTCTGGCCAGTCTAGAAAAAAACATTACTGTACACTGGCTGCATACATAGCTATGGACTCCAGTATACCCCTTTGTGCTAGATGGTTGTTGACCCTACAAGAAGGTTTATCTGCCCTTGCCAGGCCTTGTTTCTAATCCTGCTAACTTTCTAGCCACTATTTTCACCAGAAAATCTTAATTGCCATTGACACAATCATGCAGCAGGGCATAATGGGTTACACAATACCAGTAGCACTTCTAGAGTGTGACCAATTTTGATATAATTTATATCAAACATATCTATGAAGAAGCAACTATGTATGTGTTAACCATCTTTTATGTGACATGTCACTGAGTGGGTGATCATGGCTCTTCATAACTTCCTATCTTTGTAGTGCTAAGAATTATCTGTGTATTTTATATTTTTCTCACTTCTCATTATGTGTCCCAGAAATTTCAACTCTTTCTGATTCTAAATATATGTCCCTTTTATTCCGATTTTCTTTAAAATTTCTTCTTTACTCATATATTTCATCCATAGTATTCTCAGCATCCTTCTCTAGAACTATAACTCTGTTGCCTGAAGTCTTGTCTTCATCTGTGAAGAAATTGTCCAATATTTGCTGCCATATAGGATGATTGATATTACAAAGTAGTTCAACAATTATTTTTTTTCTAATAGAATTTTTCTCTTTGCTAATACTTTGCTTAGCTTTTAGAAGGCGTCATTTGATATTCCAATGTACCTTCTGATTTCTGTCACATTTTCTGGCATCTGATGTACCACTTCCCAAATCATTAAGCTTGATTTTGACATTTCCAGTTCATAACTCATATACATATTTTTTCATCAGCAGAAACCTTAACTGTTTTAAGTCGAATTTATCATGTTTGTATAATAAATGAATTGAAAATTATGCATGTGAATGCACTATTAGCAAAATGATCACAATTTCCTGAAAAATCTCTTAAAAAAACAATTTTCTGATACTGCATCTCAAATTAAAAATTTTAACAACCCCTAATCAAAACTGATATCAGAGGGATTCAAGATGTGCATTGCTATGGTTACAGAATTAAATTGTTTGTTTACTTGTTGACAACTTGCACTCCTCAGTCAGTAAATCAATTGTGAATATTTCTTAGAGAGTTTCTTTTCTGTAAGAAATGCTTTCCAATTCAAAAAGACATTTGTTCTATTTTATTAACCTGTTTCTTGCAGATTCTGTAGCCAATTTCAATAACATCCCTTCAATAAATCAGCTATGTTAAATCTGACTGAAAGAATAAAATACATTTTTTCTCTTTTAGAGTGAGGGCAGCTCTTGAAGAATGTATCCAAATAAAAAGTTAAAAGTAATTGTTCAATGTAATTTTCACATAGATTTTGTTTATATTAAATCCCCACATTCCAAATCTTTTTTCATTTTGAGATTTAAATCTTTAATCATTACTCTTAATTATTTCAAAATAATTTGAATCAGCAGCTGTATATTTTTGTAAATTTATTATTAAAATTAATTTATTTTGACTTATACCAAGTGCAATAGAACCTCAATTAACTGCCCCCAAACAAATGTGAAGTACTGAAGCCACTCCTAGCCATTCCTTAGACTTTACACACTTAACCTTATTCATTTGTAACCTACAGGCAGGGTGTTCACTTTACAAATTGTTTTCATGCTATCAATTCATATCTTTATTTTGTATCATCCAATGCACACAGCAAGCCTTAAAATCTGTGATAACTTTTGTTTTTATCTTTTTTGATATCTCATTCCCTCTCTTTTCAGCATAATAATTTCTTTTAATCAAGCCACTACATCAAAACTATCTTGATTCTCAAATCTTAATCGATTCTTCTGACCAAAAATACTGCCCATTGCATGATTCTTTCCCAGTTTTATTGAATTCATTCCCAAGTCACACATGGAATGAGAGATATTAATCTTAGGCAAATTCCTGTGTCTGATAATAACACAAGAAAAAGAAAAACACAAATCTGTAATTGTTTTCAACACTTGATGATTTATGGCAATGCTTTTGTATTTGAAAGTATTCACTCTTCTGTGAACACTTAATATATTCAATTTCATGATATTAGTTTCAAGCCAATTTTTCTAATAATTCAAGATAAGGAACAATGAGCAGAAACATGATTTTCATTTCTGATTCAACCAGAAGAAGCATAGAGAAGTATAATATGGTTAGTATTGAAGTTTTATATATATATATATATATATATATATATATATATGTATGTATGTATGTGCAAGTTAATTTAAAACCAATATTTATAATATGTTTATGAATTTCATTCTTTGATTTTAAAAATTCTCTTTAAATTTCTGGGCTGATGTTAAATATAAATTGTTCAATATTTCTCAAACACTTTCAGCTTTTATAAGCCATGAGCAAATTATTTGTTTGTGAATTCATGTGAAAGTGTTTTGAGGTATGCATTGTATTTCTTGGTAGTTTTTGGATATCACATCATCTCACAGCAGTTTTGTATGTTTTGTCTGCTTTTTCAAGTATTGTATCTTCATGCTCACAATATATTGTGATATATTGATAAGTATGATAATATTGGACACTATGTTTTTTGTAGCCAGGAAGTTAGAAAAACTGTCATATTTAATTTTTTAAAATATCTTTAAATTTGTATGACTGAGAAGTGCATTCCAAATACATTTCTGTCTGTCTCTCTGCAATAACGTTGAAGACATAAAATAGAATTAATCCACGTAACATAAAATATGACAATATACAAGTTACTTGAAATCAAAAAGTGGAGTCATAAATCTTAGTACTACTGTCAGATAGAAAATACTTTTATTTTTTGAAACAATGTTCTTAGAGTAGAAAATTATCAAGTCTAACTTCATGGTTTCATTAAATTTTGAAACCATTTGATATGATGTTTAAATGGAAATGTGAAAAGAATGAATTTTCAGAGAAGTGAATAAAGCAATTAATTTTTTCTTTATTCTGATTTGACTCTTTATTTATCAATATCAAGAAAGTGAAATGAATTAAACTATTCTTGTGACAGGAGACCCTGTGCTTTAAATGAAATGAGGCACAATGTGAGTAATGATATCTAAGAGTTCATTGAGGAAAATCAAATACTAAATTGCAATATGCCAGTTTTGATGCTATATATGAATCTCTTTTGTAAAATCCATTCATAATTTCAGCATTTAAATGTGTAAACATACTGATAACTACTGATAAATACTACCATTCACATAGCTTGACTATAATCTTTGTTTAAACATATCAGCCCTTTTAATTTGATACAAATACTAATTATAAAACAGTCAAAAATACACAAGGCTATAAGCAACAGTGTAAGGAGGTTATTTTGTGTAAAATTTTGCATGTATTTGCTTTTAACACTTGGTGCAGTGAACAGATTGTAGAAATACAAGATTGCCTAACTAGGATGAAAAATATTACATGCTGAATAGTGGGAAACCTGATAAGATAGAGCAAGATTTTTTAAAAGCTCCCATGATTTCATAAACTTATCTGTCAAATCAAATCCACTCTCTTGTTAATATGATGTACAAGCAACCTTCAAATGATAATTATTTTACAACACACATTCAGTTCTCAAGTTCAGTTGAGAAGAAATACCAATTTAATAACAGAAAGCTTCAAACAAATTCATATATAAACTAGCACATCATCATCAGAAGATAAAAAATGCAGAGAAAATGAAAGGAAATCAAATCTTCACAAACCAACTAAACATGTGCTTTAAATAGTTTAGGCTTTCAGTTTCAATTCTGTCACTTGACTAATAATTTCAATTCTGGATTTGAATGAACAGTTTCTCTTCTGGATTTTGGACAAATGGATTCAATTCTGGATCTGGACAAATGCATTCAATTCTGGATTTAGACAAATAGATTCAATTCTGGATTCAGACAAATAGATTCTTTTTTAATTCTTTGCTTGGTGAAATGGTTTCAATTCTCTGTTCAGTCAAATGGACTAAATTCTCTTCCCAGTCAAATGGACTAAATTCTCTTCCCAGTCAAATGGTTTTAATTCTCTTCCCAGTCAAATGGTTTTAATTCTCTTCCCAGTCAAATGGTTTTAATTCTCTTCCCAGTCAAATGGTTTTAATTCTGTTTGGGAGCTGACAGTTGCAATTCTATTCTACTAAATGAAAACAGACTCTCTTCTTGTGAAGAATGTAATCTGTTTAACATAAGTAATGTAGTAGTATAATTACACTGAATTTTACATTTGATAGCCTCAGTTGTGCTAGATAAAAACAAAATAGTCATTATTATATACATAAACTTTAAAAACTCAATATATATCTGAAGATTAATCAATTTATATTTTTATGCAAGACAAAAGTAAAATACATTTGGTTATTTTCAAACAACCTATCTCAATTATGGTAGTTATCATTACATTCAATCTGCTAAGAATATAAGAAAAAAAAACTTGTATTTAATATTTCTATCACAGTAACTCTTCTATAGAAAATTATAAAAATTGCTTCATATAAAACTGATAAAATATCAAAAAAGTGATTAGGCTTGCATTACCCAAATTCCCTGAAATCTTTCCATGATTTCCAGACATTATAAAAATATTAACCTCACAAAAATTTATCAATGATTTCAGTGATAGAAAGTTTTTTGTTTAGCAATAAAAAATATTCAAATTTTATTATTTTGAAATGATTCTGAAAATAATAGAGAAAACATTTCTTGAAATGACACATATAACATAATTTGATATTGTCATTTAATTCAAAATTCAAATTGAAGACAACATATTCAATGCAGAGAAAAAATATATTAATGGACTTCAGACTTACCTAATTGATAGTTTTTTGGATGTTGACAATTTTATCCTGTTTGATTTTATGATAAATTTATTTTAAGAAAAAGAAAATTCTAAAAGATTCAGGGGAAAACATCTTTTAAAAATATTGATATGACAAATGATTTGAGGGTGGAATGATTCACTTTACTGTTTTAATACTTAGTTCTTGTTATATTTATATAACTAAAATTAAGAGAATCTCTTCATAATTTGCATTAGAAAGAGTTTAAACTCAACCATTAAACTTTCAATGAATTTATGTATGAGGATCTAAATCATCTTAGTCTACAAAATTGACAAACATCTAACACTTACAATAATATACTTAACACCAATGAAGTCCAAACAATTAGTTAAGGAGCTATGAAATAATACTGTCCAGTTTAGATTAACATCACCAAAGGTAAATATGGTTTTCATTTGACTAATTACTTACTGTTTCAATTTGAAGTTTTCTTTCTTCCTGGCTTAACACTTGATAAGCTTTATCATACAAAGAGTCTCGAAGACGTTTCACAGTTAATTTCTCCATATTTTCTTTTACCAGTAATTCCTGCAACAAAAAAAAGTTATATGAAACAGAATTCATCTTTTTTTCTATTAAACATGATTTTTGACTATGGGTATTTAAGAACAATAAGTAAAAAATAAGTACTGCAGAAATATAAAAAAAAAAACTTTAGGCCTCTTCAATTATAAATAATACCAGACAATTGAAAATTGTATTATGAGCCTAAAGATTGATTAAATCTAAAAAGATAAAAAAAAAATAATACATGACAAGGGAGATAATAACTGTCAATTTTTTAGTCTTCAGTATGAAACAGATTCAGAGTTCTTGAAACACAAAGCTTTTTTCTGAGCTAGCAGTTTGTTTCATAAAAATATAAAAGGATATTCATGTTTCACACTGATATGAAGTGGAGTGATTATATTGAATTGGTTATCAGGTCTACTGTTAGGAAGGTTGGTTCACTGTGTTGCGCCAGACAGTTCTTCCTGTCAGAATCCTTCTTGCACATTTATAAATCTACCATTTGTTTATGCATTGAATACTGCTCAAGATCATTGACAGAAATCAAAGAATGGTCTATAATCAACCATGACCTGTCATCTCAACTTCAGATATTTTCTCACTGATGAGATGTGGCTTCTGTTATAGACAAGCGTATGGTTGCAAGAAAGAAATACAACAACAGAAATAGATTTACGTGGTTTATTTCAACAGGAATGTGAGGGTTTGGGACAGCTACCTTGTGGTATAGTTCATAAGCCGGCTTCGGATCTAGGTCGATCTCTCATAGTAGTTCACACATGTTGATGGTGGTTGATGCTCCCCTGCTGTTAGCTGCTGACCGTGACAAGTCTCTACCCTGGGCACCTATGGACTGCCCGTTGAACTTCCATGTGACCCCTTTTATAGCGTTTTTTTATGGCTTAACAGGCTTGAAAAACGAAGCGAGTGTAATTAGGAGGGAAGCATTTTTATTGGACGAAAAATAGAACACTTTAAATATTATTTTATTTTTCAACCGAAACACGTGTGTAAGGAACATCTGTAAATGATCATTTTGTGACGGGGTTTTGTCCCGTTCAAATCCGGCTCTCGCTCTTGAGTATTTGCCTGTAAATCAGCCGAGATATGTCTTATTTTATTTTATAACACTACTTTCTGATTTTTCTACAAATACAGACAAACCTCTCATCAACAGACTAATAGTGGGGAAAGGTGGTCTGTTAAAGCCGACTGTCTTAGATGGGAAGGGATTAATTATCACATTTCTCATTTGTGGGATGCTCTCCCAACTTCTTGTTTTCCAGTCAATTTTGATTGTCAGTTGTTATCTTTATCTTCTTAATTCCTGTTCATTTATTGTTCTTTATTTCTCCTTAATAATATTTCTCTTTTTCTCATATTCTTCCATACTCAGTAACCCTTGTATTTTAGTGGCTTTATTGCCTTGCTTGGGGTGCAATGATTAAAAAAACTTCAACTCTTCCTGGATGTTAGATCTCCATTTGTCTATGTGGAGAGCATTGACTTACCAATTTGGATTGTTCATCATGTATACCTTAAGCAAGTCCTGAAAACTGTTACAAAAGTCTTACTTTTGTTTGTGCTGAGGTTGTTTTTTTTTAACATAGTTCACTATATAAGAATCATTTAGATATACTGTTGTCCTACATTTATATGACATGATACATTTACCAAAGTTTTTGACAACAAATATGAGCTTCTATTCTGATAGGATTAGCTCTCAAAAGTACTTCAGAAATCTGGTGTATGAAGTAAAGCATTAATTCCCAGGATGTTGTAAAGACAATACTGTTGAAAGTAGTATGACATTTTTGATTTTCTTGTAGTACAGAAGCCATCTTAAAATGATTATATAAAATTCTTTAATAATAATGTTATTTGTAATTAATATGATTAATGTTCAATAATGAGCATTGTAATTACAAAGGCTGTTTGTACAAAAAACATTATAGACCAGAAATACTCTGGTTAGCCATTTTAAGTGATAAGTTTTGATATATATATATATATAAAATATGGTAAAAATATAACTTTAAGGTATGGTATATTTATAGGTAAAAGAGAACAATATTAAAAAGAGCATATGTAAATGGAAAATTGAACAATAAGGTCAACACTAAGTTTGATTCAGACAGCTGTCACTTGATGTTGATCTCAGACTCCAATTATATATATATATATATATATATATATATATATATATATATATATATGTGTGTGTGTGTGTGTGTGTGTGTCTGTTTGTGTACACAAAAATTTTCACAGAGTGAACAGATCCTAAGGATAAGTGCTATTATATTGATCCTGGGCAAATGAGCAGGTACTTTTATCCAAGGCAGAAGTGTTGATCCATATATAAATAATACAGCCATTTTTATGGGTACTGTGCTAGTTTTAATAAATTTTTGACAACAGTTTATTTTGTGTATTTTAAGAGAAGCCATTTTGGATGATTCAAGATTCTGCATGTAAAATGATTTCTAATTCACTAATATATGCTACTGACTGATTTTAACAGAATTCATTAATACGGTCTCTTAATAACCCTACAAAACAAAAATAACTGTTTTCAAAACAAATGGACTTTTTTTATTTTTTTTTTACCTTAATCAAAAGCTGTACAAAAAATAAGTAGAGTGGAACCTCAATTTAACAGACTAACAAGAGGGTGGGTTTGTCTGTTAAAGCCATTTGTCCATTAATTTGAAGCACTTTTTTCATGGCCTAAAAACATCTAGTACAATACAAAATTATCACTAATAAATGCAAACACAGTATTTATGTATGTGTATTTTATTTTTAAGTTACTATATACCTTTAAATAAAGTAAGTTCATTCTCAGTCATTCCACCACCTCTTCCTCTAAATCACTGCTGCTAGTGAAGGGCTTGACAAAAAACAATACTGCATACTGTACCAAAATCAGTATAACATGTTTGAGAGATGATGCATGTGTGTACACAACAAGTGCTCAAGTAAGCAACAGTGGCTATTCCAGAAACTACCAGTTTCTGTCTGTTAATTGCACCAGTAAACAACAGCGGCCAATTCTGGAACTAACAGACTAACATTTGTGAATTTTGTCCATTACATCCAGAGTATGTTTGTCCATTCAATCCAGAGTGTGTTTGTCCTGGGACTGTTAATTCAACATTTTACCATATTTATACAAAAAGATTTCACAAACAATAGGCCTCAGTTGCTTAAAAATTGCTCAGAATTAACATCAAGATGAACAACCAAATATATCTGTGCAAAATATTGAAGAGTATTAATCTTATATATTAATGATTCAAAAATAAATGATGACTTATAACACATTTTGTGCATTATGTCAATCATAAGTGTACTTTGATCTATGAAAAACAAAATAAATTAAAATAGTTTTAACTAAAACTTTTAGACAAAACCATCCAAAAATCAGAAAATAACATTAGTAATAAGTGTCTGCAGAATAAAAAGAAATCCTGATGATACCATTATTCTATTTTATGGTCATTATTAATGGTGATAGATTTTAAGCTGATGAAGTGATTGTCACCTTCACTAGCACCAAAACAAAATCTGGAGTCACTAAGTCCATAGCAAACAAGAATGATCACAAACATACAAAATACGTCTCTTCATTTTGCCACTATGAGTAGTTAAAGATAGAATGCAATTATTGATGTATTCATAACAGTAGTTTATTGTCCCTGCAGAATACAAATTCAACTTTCAAAGAATAGAATGGTGGAATCATAGTCAGTAGAAATAAATTTAGATATTTATATCTTTTATTGCCAAGATAAAGAAAAGGTCTATTATAAAAAAAAATGTGTTTTCAAAGAATAGTGTAATGTAATTGGAATCTTTGTCATTGTGTCAAGTACATGTCAGAGTTCAATGAATAACTAATGTTAACCAGGAAGCCTTAGAACAAATAAGTATTTTTCAGTATATTTTGACATACCTTATAAAATAAAAAAGAGAATTTTAATGACTGAATCTTCAAATATACTGAAGCAGACCAAAAGTGCTACTTATATCATGTGATTAGTATTTTCCTCATAAGTCATTAATCAAATATAAATTGCTTTAGTTTCTTTCCATATGAAAATGTGAAAGCCCTGAATTGTAGACAAGAGAGAATTACTAAAACAATTTTTTTTTTTGATTCATCCTAAATCTATCCAGTATTCATACAGAACAAGAAAAAGAAAAAGATTTTATGCGTTCAGGTTGCCAGAGATAAAATATCCAACCAAATTAAAATGTTATACCTCCACTATCTATCTGCCATTTTTTTTTTAATAAAAAAATCTGAATAAAGTTTTTGTCATAGAAAGCTGATGACATTGCAGTTATATATGAAGAAATGACTAAGAAAAACAAAATGTGCTTAAAAAACTAAATAAAGTCTTTATTTTTATCAATAAAAGATAATTAATTAGAAAAATAGGATATGTAGTGCTCTCCTTGTTCTATATTTGTTTAAAGTATATTGCCAACACCTGGGAAGGAAATGAGTGTTAAATATTTGCACCAAAAATGAATCCTTTGTATAGACAAGTAAGGATCAAAATTGAATTTTAAATTTTAAAAACAAAATCTGCATAAACTTTGTAAAAAGCTACAGAGGTCACTTCAAAGTGACAAGAAGTCACCCAAATTAAGGAGTAGTTTTGTTAAACAATGGGTTGTCAAAATTATGACTGATTTTTCCTTCTAAAATGTTCCTATTCACAAAATGAATGCAAGGACAACCACAATTTTTTCAAATACTTTTCAGTCTTCAACACTGTTGACAACATCTCCTTCAAATACATTCAGAAAAGGCACAATTTCAACAAAAGCAGCAGAATTTTATTCTATTTCCCAGAAAAACTCATATACATGGAATGATTTGTGCAACCATCTTATGCAATTTTAAAAATATCTCTTCAGCCACTGAAACATGTGGAGTATTCTGATTTGTTTTAACTTGGAGAGCTTTTTTTTGTATTATTTATTTTTTCTTAAATATATATACTTTT